AGGTTTTGTCCATACCATGGAAAGATTTACTCGCCAAGTTCGTGAATAGAGTTTGGTTTTTGACATTTTACACACAACAGGGGAAGTAATACGTCCGTGTCGGTTGCCTGGTCCAAGTTCTGAAGCTCTCAGTGTCTTTGTGTCGTTAGCTTTCTTTCTCTTGCTCTGTCCGTGGTGCTGAAAAGCCTCCAGTCCCCGCTACTGAAAATGTCTGTGGAGACGAGCTTTCTGACGCAGGGTCCTTGGACCTGTATTTTCGGCTCAGAATAGATGCGACGCTTTTCTGAAGAAGCCAGCAAGGCTTTCTCCTGAAAAGAGCCGCTCTCGCCGGCGGGTTGAGAGCACCGTGCGTTTTGATTGGAGACAATAACCTGTGCTGCTGTGGTCAGAAATACCCTTCAACACTGGAAGTGATGCGCTGTTTAAGTGCAACACACCTGCTTTTGGTATGGCTGAAAGGGCTTTTTTCATTTGCACTTGTCCAACCTGCAAGACATCAGAGGATAATTTTAGCTGTGTGATTATTTACACAGTGGCACTGCAAGACAGAGGATGTTTCAAGTACACGCAGTGTAATTTGTTGCTAAATTATAGAGGTCACTGTGTTTAGAAATAGCCCAGGTAGCAATTTGCAGCATTAATGAGCTGTTATTTAATTGCGGAGCTGTCACGTGTTTGCAGTTTGAAAGAAAACAGAAAGACACTTTTTTATTCTTTTTAGTCTTTTGCCAGCATCTTCGCACCCTCTCATGTAAGCAACCATTGACCTGTGACAGTTCTTCCATCAAAAGGCTTTCATAACTCGACCTTGTTGCGTAACATACCTGCGGCTTGTTCCCGTGTCCGACTAAGCTGGCGCCGACATCATCGTATCTAGGTCAATTTTCTTGACAAGATAATCCCATCTAAACTGTTGTTGGATTAACAGCTAAAATAAACCTGTTCAGATGATGGGTCACTGCCTGTTTCAATGTTTAATCCGACGGCTTAATGAAAGTTACCGACCAGATGTTCTAATTAGGGCCAGACTATTGGTCGGTTTCCAAGGCTGTTATTGACACTGATATGTCTGGATTGAAGCTACTGGAAGCTGTTGTTTTACAATGATTGTTCATATTTACCTAAAAAATTACAAAAGGTAAAAAGCCCTAAGATACATTTAAACCATCACTGGATGCTAAAACAAAGCTAACAACATGTTTAGGGAGAGAAACAGCTTCTTAAGGTTGACTGAGGCAGGTTTTTCAGACTAAAACCCTGAAGCTGTTGAGGAAAATCCTCCCACATCACACTGGGAGCTGTCACCAGCTTGTATTAAATAAAAGGTCAACATAGACCTGACATCACAGCAAGTCGATACATCAGCGAAAGCCTTGTTTTTGCTTTTAATTATCCAGATTAACAGTCATATCCTGGCTTTTCGTTGATAATCGGCTGTTCGGCTGGACAAGCCGGTCGGGCAACAGAAGCAAGAAGAAGAGACAAGCTGTGTGTCCTCTCCGCCGCTCGGCTCCGATTAGACTGCTATTGTCGGACTTTTAGTTGAACACTGGCCTCAAATCCAGGACAAAGAGCAGCTTTGACATGTGGGGCCTGATAGGGAAAACAATGTTCTGGATTCCCTGGACGCCTACAGTGCAGTCCTACTAATTTAATTTTGCAACTATACAGACCGGTTCACCACAGAGCTACTTCGATTCAAAGACCCGAAACTGGAGAGGTCGTTGCTCACCCTGAGGGCGCAAAGGCCGCGTCCTTGGTGTTTTCATTTGAATTTTTCGGGTGCAAAGCGGCACATGGAGAGTCTACAACTGAGCGCTTACTCATGAAGGATTCACTGTTTATTCAAAACCACCTTTCGATGGTGAAAAAGAAAAATATATGATCACCTGTTTGTTTTGACCTGTTTGACCTGCCGATGCTAAGCTAACGTTGTTCCCCTTCACCAAACTTGGAGTAATCGAGGAAAGAGAAGTAATGTTTGGAATAATCTTGGATTTGACGCCATGGATGAAAAAATGGATGCACAACGCAACAGCCTTACAGTAAACTCAGCTTGTGTGAGGCAGCGGAGGTGCAGCTACTGAACAGAACCATCATTTCTACAGTGTAGTTTAGGAATAAGCAACATTGACTCGGATGAATTTGAACATGCAAACTTGTTCAAACGTGACTTTTTTAAAACAGTGACAGTCCTGTGGTGAATATTTTTATTACTGTTTTATTGGATCCCTTTAGTGTTGCAAATAAAGTTTTTTTTTAAGCAGCATTTATACTTTTAATCCAGCAAATACAGAATAAAGGACGTTTGATTGAACAGTTAACTAAATAAATAACATTTTTTGTAACTGAAATATTATTTTTATATTTATTTTTTATTATATTTGAAATGACCATTCCCACTGTGACTCATGTCGCAATATCTGTGAAAATAATCATTTTCATTTTATGATTTGTTTTTGCTTTTCGTTCAGCCCTATTTACAAATGAACCTCAGTATGTCTAAAATCGTGGCTGTGGCCCCCGAGTTTTCAACATGGCACAACATTAAATGTGCAACAACATTTTGACATAAATAATTTATCGCCGCATTAATTATTAGTGTTTTACTGCATGTTCATCCTGTTCAGTAAAGCCAGGGATGCTCCGAGTGTTTGTGTGTGTTAAGTAAATGCTATCAGTCATGTCAAAAAATGCTACATGCTACAATGCTGCTGTCACCTTTCATCACCCACAGCCATGCAAATCCTGCCATTTCATTGTGTTTACATTGTCCTGCCGGTAGCAGTCACTCCTCCCTCTGTGTGCACAGTCACGGGTTTAGTTGTCAGCAGGCGATTATGTCAAACTGTCGGAGGAAATATGTTTATGCTCATGGAATTATTAAAAGAAATAGGCCACTATGAACTACTGTGGCTTGTATGAGCTCAATGTCTAAGCTACAATAGCGCTTGAGGCTAACAGATGGCCAACCTGTGGCCCCCTTCTTTTCTTTTATTTCTTTTTTTTTCTGGAGATCTAGGATTGTGCATGTGTTCAAGTGTGTGTGTGTGTGTGTGTGTGTGTGTGTGTGTTGAGTTTATAGCTGCAAGTGCACATTAACTCACATGCCATTCCTTTGTTGAGAGAGAGCGATGGGAAATGGGATTTTGCTCCACAGAATGGTATGGTTATTTAAAGCAAAGCAACACAACAAAAGAGGGAGACTGGGGAAGAGAAGGAGAGATAGTGAGAGAATGGATTCGAGTCATATACCTGCCAGTGGTGCTTTTCTGTATTGTTGCCATAGCAACAGCGGCTTGCTGTACTTGTGTGTGTGTGTGTGTGTCTGTGTGTGTGTGTGTGTGTGTGTGTGTGTGCGCGTGTGTGTGTGACAAGCAGTGTAATTCTGCTGGTCACCAGTGTAGCCTAGAGCCGACTCCCCAGCTGCTGGTTGCCATGAGCCCAGACAGACGCATCCTCCGCTCCAGTGATAAATCTTTTCTCCTGGCGTTAAAATCACTAAACAGATTAGGCACGTTTTGTTTTCGGAGACATGTCAAGATGAACGGACACTGCTGGGCTCTGTAGTATCCAAAATGCGACGTCATTTTTAAAGGTCCCATATTTGACTCTTCTTCTGTGTTTTGTCTGAAGTGTTGATCCATAAGAAGATATATTTGTGTTTCATCCCAGTGTAGTTTTACATCTCCTCTCTCAGGCTTCTCTCTGGAGCTCTAGTAACAACAGGTCGGTGAGCCAATCAGAAGAGAGGGGGCTCTGAGCCTCTCTTCTGATTGGCTGACTGTTTTCTGATTGATCCAATAAAAATATAACAGATTTCAGGTAAAAACCAAATCCTGCAAGGTTAGGATGGTGGGTTCAGGTGGGCGGGGCTGGGCTTGTGGCATGGTTTAGGGCGGGAACTGTTTTGTTGTGACATCAAAAAGTTACAGGAAGTCCTGACGGCTGGTTTTAAGGCTCAGTTTCTGAATACAGGCTGTGTGCATTTCTCTGTGGACTGAGGCTTTGATACTTTCACAGTATTAATATAGAAGCTAGACCTGATCTATAATCACACTACACATGGACAGAGATCTTTAGACTATATGTAAAAGTAAAGTCATTAATTAGAGATTAGAGGAAAATAGGCCAAGTAGATTATTTAGATAGGTAGATAGTTTATTATCATTCCATATCAGGACACAGTGAAACTTAGTTTGGCAGCACTCCACTCCTTATTGTAGCACAACATTAGAGATAAATAAGAATAAATTAATTTTAAAAGTGGTCATTATAAATATACATAAGAATAAATAGTCTTATAAAGACTTGAAATATTGTCTATTATTGCAGGTGGTAATCGTATTGCGCTGGAGGACTTTTGTTGTAGGGCTGGGGGAGGGGGGGGGGGGGGGGGGGGGGTGATGGATGGGGTGCCGTGGTTGCAGCAGCTTGTCCACAGCTTGTGGAAAACAGCTGTTTCTCAGCCTGTCTGTCTGAGTCTGCCTGAGGGGAGGGTGGTGAACAGGGAGTGTCCAGGGATGTGTGGGGGTCTCTTCATGGAGCTAGTGGCTCGTTTGTGAAGCCTTCTCCAGTGGACGTCGATCGGGTTTAGAAGCGGGGAGCCGACGATCCGCTGCAGGCTGTGGTGCAACTAGAGAGCAGATGGTACAACAGTACATCAAGATACTGTCTGTTCTGCAGCGGTAGAAGTTATTTTGTGGGGGGAGTCTGTTGATTTGTGACCCTCAAAAAGAAGAGGCAATGTGGGGCTTTCTTGACCAGGTGTGAGGTGTTCAGGTTCCTCAGATTCGTGGACTCCCAGAAACTTGAAGCTGGCGACCCCAAAGAGGAGTCTTCAAATGCACAGACTGAGTTAATGATATTTTTTATTACACGTCCGCACAGAAAGATGACTACTGACTTTATTGTGGAATATATATCATTTGTAAGAACACAATGCTCCGTCCACTATTTTCAATTTTAACCCTCTTCTCGTCCCCTCCTTTCTATCGTAGAGGGGTCCTGAGATGACGGAAGTGGAGCCAGTGTTGGACTTTGCCTCCTCCGGACGCTCGGGGAGGCGAAATGCCCTGCCTGACATCCTGGGCTCTCCGGCCGGCGTAAACCCTGGAGACCTGCCTCTTAAACTAGCTGAGCTCTCCCTCAAAGGTAAATGACACTAGTTAGTTTAAAAAGGGTTATTATTACAAAATTTAGCACAAATTTAAAAACTGTAATCAGCTCGTAAAATCCTGACATCATGCACGCTTTAAAATCCATTGGTTTTCTATCCTGTTGTTTGTTCCTGAGTACAGTCTGTATCTCCTACTTTGTTTTCACAGTTAGTGTTTCAGACATAGAAAAATGACACCACTAGTTAGCCCGGTAGATGAGAGTGGCCCGGCTCAGGCCCGTATATGGCTGCCAGATGTGACAAAAGATTTGGCGGTTGAAGACTTACAGTTGTTTCAGCTCCATTTGTTTAGTATCAGAATCTGAATCAGGTTTATTGCCCAGTGGGTTTTTACATAAAAGGAATTTACTTTGGTGTTTTGGTTCATAAAAATAAACATAGCAAGATATAAAGAAAGATGAAGCGAAGCAAGTGCTGCAAGTCAGATAGCTTAGATATAAAGGAGTCAGGTGGTGGGGGGGGGGCAGTGACAGCGGAGGTCTCTGGGCTTGCTGGTCAGTTGCAGCGATGAGTCATTACCAGGTCGTTCATCACGACCGGCACGAGTGTGGTCACCAGGCGTGCCAGATTGGCAGCACTTGTGTCTGCATGGGTAGGAAGCAAATGGGCATCGAATCTAAAGAGACTTGGTTCTGTGTGACCTCAAAGGTAAAACATGACAGCACCTAGTGATGTAATGATCAGGAATTCATTGGTATTGATCAACAGAAGCTTTAGACAGCCTCTTTTTTTTACCCTTGACAGTCGCAGCAACATGTTTCTCATCGTGTCTTTTCTTTGGTGTTTTGTGCGCAGATGGTCCGGGAGGGGCCCAGTCACCCACGGCGGAGGAGCAACCAGCGCCGCCGGAGGGCTCGGAGGGGAAAGAGGGATCGTAGGGACTCATTTATTTACCTCCCTGGAGACCTGCAGAGATAACCTGAGAGATGGGATGAGGAACGAGATAGAGGAGAGTTAGGGGGGTTGGGGGTGGGGCTGGGGAGGCGACTTGCAGGAGAGAGCGTGACGGTCTGTGGAGACTCAGCTTGTTTGAGAAGCAGCTGCAGCCACAGAGGGAGCGTGACGGACCGACTACCCCAGGACTGAAGCCGGGAGCTTAGGACTTCTTTTCTGAAAAGAGTCAGACGCTACTTAGTTATAGAAACCACTGAGTGTGTGTGTGTGTGCGTATGTGTGTGTGTGTGTGTGTGTGTGTGTGTGAGTTATACACACACACACTGTGGACACACTGAGAATCAAAGACCATGACAGATTGTATACTGTACACTACTATTTTTGTATGATTTATTTAAAACGATAGAAAAACTGGAATTCGTGAGTCGGACTGTAACATGTACCATTTCCTGCTGATTTTTCTTTAACGGTACATTTGACGTAACTGGGAACTCGCTCACTTACCTACTTACGCTTTTACACTAAATGTGTATTATCTACTACAGGTTTTCAAATCTGAGGTGGTTGCACAGTGTATCTACATTGTAAATGTACAGTTTTTACCCCTCTCTCTCGCCCAGACTGTTTCGATCCTAGCAACGACGACCAGGGATTCGATCCATTGGTTTGTTTTTGGTTTTTTTTAGGTGTCCATATGGTGCATAATGTGGAAGAGCCGTCCTTATCTTGAGACATTCCTGTAGAGACTAGTGTCCCACTGCCAGCAACGTACACACTGCTTCTTATAATACTGGGGGGGGGAGAAAAAAAGACTGTGATGTACTTTTGTTTTGTTTTTTTGCTCAAGGCTGCTTTTAAAAGTCTCTTCACTCTCCAAACCTCTGAAAATGTCTCGTGGCAGTTTTACGACCGAAAAACGGAAAATGTTTGTTGTGTTTTTTTCTTTCTCTGTGAAGTACTGTTAACCACTCTTTTGGGCTACTGATATTTCCTGTTGTTTTTAATAGGAGGTATCATCACACATCTTTACTGCTTGAATTGTAAATGAAAGAGAAACAAAAACAAAAACAAACACTTTTGTAACACTCTACAAAATCTGCATTTGCAGATCCGACAGGAGAAGCAACTGAGCTGAGCTTTGCTTAACTTCAGCAGGGCTTTTTTTTCTTCTTCTTCTTCTTCTTCTTCTTCTTCTTCTTCTTCTTCTTCTTCCTCTTCTTCTTCTTCTCCTTCTTTATTCCAAAGGCTCCTCACGCGTGCTTCTTATATTATCAACAGCATATGCCCCGCTGCCTGAGTAAGGGAGCAGGCATTCGAGCAACAACACCGCCGCCACAATGTGTTTTTTCGTGTGCCGAAAATGGCAGCACACTCGCCTTCTGCCTCTCCAGAGTCTGTTCACACTCATCAACACATGAGAAGAGCTGTGAATAGAGACAGAGAGAGAGAGAGAGAGAGAGAGGTAGTGAGGAAGAGCTCAGCGAGGGTCCACGGTTTGTCAACTATCAACTCACTGCTACTGTATATATACTGTGTTGTAGTATAATCCATGTGTCATACATGCTACCTGTATGATTACCAGACTAACTGTACCCGCGAAGAAATGATGTTCTGTAATTGTTTCTATTTGAAGATTTGTCGTCGGTGGCCGTGTCTTTATGTGGATGTGTTTTCAAAAATGCAACAAGGGAAACCTGGTGTGCTGCTGCCCAGCCAGCTGTTTTTGATGCTATAGAGCAGACGAGGAAGCGTTCATGGTCGGATCTGAAGCTGTACGATCAACACTTCTTTTTTTTCTTGTTTTATTTATTTTTTTTTCTTGTTTTTGGAGCAGAGGTTTATTTTGTAGTGTCCTGATCTTTTAAGTGGTGCATATATTTTACTTGGCTGGATTGAATCCCACATGTTGATTCTATCTGCTGGTGAAAATTGCCATATTAAACCCACAAGCTTTACATATACAACCGTGTGGTGAACAGTGTCATTTCTGTGGAAGGCCCTCAGTCCGGGTGCGTTGCTTTTAGGTTTCGGCGTACACACATTTTCTTGGAAACATGGGGAATGGTTCAATGATAATGATCTAATTCAGTATAAGTGTTAAAGGAGACATTTGTAAGTTAGTAAGTAAGTTAGTATTGCTTAGTGCTAATTCAGAAAAACTGCCATGATAACAGGTTAAACTAAGATGCTAAATATGAGCATGTTAGCGTTGTCACAGTGAGCATGTCAACATATAGGCATTAGCATTTAGCTCAAAGTCCGTCAAATCACCCAATTCAGAAGTTTCCAATCTTTTCCAAAATCTCTAAAATGTTGGTGTCCCACATCCGACCCTGTAACAGTAATAAAGCCTTCAAACACTCAGGACTGAAGTGGACTGAAGCTTTTACTTTTTTGTTTGATGGGGGGGGATTAATTGTCGATTCACCATATGTCTCCTTCCTTTTAACTCTTCCTGTTGCTAACCAGCTATCCATTTTGATACTGCCATCGTTTCTTTTTTCTTCTTTTATGTAAACATCAACTGATGGTGCAAAAATGAAATTATTTTACCTGAACATACAACAACACCATGCGAATGATGGTGGTTGTTGGTTGGCTGGAGGTGATTGAGCTCACCCTCTGCTAAGCGCTGTAGCCATGTAGCATGTGATTACAGCCACAGTCTCTGACAAAAAGCACTTGAAATGGTGCCGATTGTGTTTCTCATCTTCTGAAGTGTAAGGTAAGAGAGTCTAAGGTGCACTTGAAGGCAGCACAAGGCATGCACTCTCCGCAGTCCTTCCAGAATTGCCATGTTAGTACACCCGTTACATAATGCAGCAGTTCCTCCGGGTGTCCAGCAGATGGAGACATTCACTAAATTATCATGCAACTCGTATCACGCTTTCACACCGACGGGAGGATTTCTTTGTTGTGTTTCGTACAAAAAAACAGCAAAAAGGCAATCATTTTTATAACAATATTAATAGGAACACCTAAAGTTACATCATTACAGTGACTAAAAAGCATCATTTCAAGGTTTTGGTTTTACATTCCTGCACAAATCTTTCAGTTTTAGACCCAGTGAGGAGTTTGACTTGGACACACCCAGTGTTGTCTCGGTGCTCCGATGGAAATTGACAATTTTGCAGTTAGTTTTGGTTTGATCACCTCGAATCCTGCTCCTAACCTGTTGAGGTGGAGGTTGATGATGATGATGTGTGTGTGTGTGTGTGTGTGTGTGTGTGTGTGTGTGTGTGTGTGAATGCAGAGTAAGTCTGGAAGCCTTTGTGATCGTGCATGCTGCTTGTCTGGCTGCGTCCCAGCAATCCCCTGCTGACAGAGAGATGAGACCGCACATACATACACCCAAGGACTCTTTGTCTCTCTGCAGACACAACAGCAAAAAGCACTCGTGTGTGTGTGTGTGTGTGTGTGTGTGATACGTGATGTTTGTTGGCTGATGCTGATGCTGTGGCCCATAGATTACATAACAGAAACATCATTTATTAATGACAGAGCACTGGCTCTACCGCACATGTAACATTCATGTGTCAATCTCGGTCATTTTATCTGAGCAAAGCAGAAACGTGTCGTCCGTTTTGAGACTTATTGTTTTGGCTGAAATATCCCTGTTGAGTCTCCACCTTCGTTCTCAGGCGTCCTCCCTCTCCTCTGAGGCGGCTCCGTCGCCCAGACTGCTGCTGCCACGTAACTTGTTGCTAGGGTAACCTAGCCTTGAGAGAAGCTTCGGCCTTATTGCACTGTATGCAATCATGCATTTTTAGTGCATGATGGAGGGTGAAGAATTGATTGGAGGGATTTGGCTACAATGAGGACAGGGAGGCTTGTGAATGATGTCAGCTGGGGTGCGGCAAGGTGTGAGGGCCCCCTCTTCATCTTGTGTTTGATTTTTATAAAAGGGAGTAAAATACAAAACACAGCCGTGGATGTAGTGAATTACCAGCCACACCACATTTATCTCTTCCACTGTTAACATGACAGTGTGCACACTTATAAATAGATAGTGTTTCCAATTCCGCAGAACAGAGGAGCAGCGGAGAGGAAAGCTCTCTGTCTTCTTACATAATTGAATAGCATGGTATAAGCGGTTTGCTATTGGCTTTCCATAAGGAAATAGTCAGGTAATTGCCTCACAGAAATGCACTGCGGTTCCCTCTCACAGACAGATTAGAGCCGAGCGCCGTGTTATCAATCGAAGCTAAGTGAGTGAGCAGCAGCCTTCAGGTTCTCCACTACTCCTATCTCCGTCTGTCTCCGTCTCTGTGAGCATCTCTCACCCCTAACGACCAGGCCGAAGAGAGAGTGGTGCAGCTGCCGTGGAGGAGACGGCGAGCGTGAGAGAGACGTGTACAGAGACAGACAGACAGAGAGAGACAGTGACAGAGACAGAGAGAGAGAGAGAGAGAGAGGAAGGGAGGGGTGGATGGTAAGACTCGCACTGAGGCCATGCAGACAGAGGATGGGTCACAGAGGATGGCGGGCAGGCGGGCGGGCCAACGAATAGAAAAGCCTTCACGTGGAAGTCAATGTGCCGTTTCCGACACACACACAGGAGCCTCAGGAGGAGAAGATGGGAAGAAGGAGAAAAGATATAAGACACAGAAGAGAGAACGAGACAAAGAAAGAAAGAGGAGGGGGGGGGGGGTAGAAACCGACCGGTGCAGTGGGAGGAAAGAGCTTTCAAGCTGCAGGAGCATCAGTTCTATAAATTCCCGAACATCATGTTGTGACATCATCATTGTCATTCGCCACCAAAATATCCACACATGCTCATCTCAACTTAAGGAAGAAGAAGAAGAAAAAAAAAACTGTCTCTGAATACCATTAGATTTCCCTGCCCTGTCTGTGGCACTCAGCCTCAAGCCAGCTGGCTCCTACTTAGGATATAAATCCTTAATGACAAATATACAATTTCAGTTTTTAAAAAAAGGCTGAGTAACTTCCTACACCAGCTGAGCACTGCAGAGTTTAACAGAGGTCACACAATCAGGAGTTAAT